TATCTGTCTGTTCTGTATTTAAACAGAGATGGATGGATGGACAGACAGTCAAGCATCTATAGGTTTGTTTCCATATCTGCCATCCATCTCTCCATATGTAGATATAGAGAAATGGATGGATGGATGGATGGATGGATGGACGGATGGATGGACAGACAGAGAGAATCTCTATATCTCCGTATCTCCGTAAGACGCTGCCTTGGAGGCTGTTGGAGTCTCCTCCTTTGGAGAGTATGAGACTCACTTGAGGTCATCCAGTGGGTTTCCATGGCCGAGCTGGACTCGAACCCTGGTTTCCAGAGTCGGGGGGGGGGTCCAACACTCAAACCCTAGCACCATACTGTCCTCCAAGAATTTGCACTAATCCTCTTTCGAAACCATCTGACCCCAGGCTGCCACACCTTGTGACATCAAAAATTCCAGACATTCATTTCGGCGTTCTCGCTTTCAAAGGTTAGTTAGTATGCATCTGTGGCTTTTTCGCTTTCTTACACAAAGGACCCGCTCAGGAGCGGCTGAGAAACTGGGTGACATGAAAAAACAACACAACATTAATGCAAAGCTGTTTTCTTTTTCCCTCCTTGTCGCTTTTCCTTTTGTGCGATGGCTGTTTCGATTGTACAACCTGCAAGATTGTTTTGGCTTTTTAAAAACAACAACAACAACCACAACAACAACAAAAACCCTGAACAAATCTTGCCAAGAAAACCCTATGATAGGTTTTATAGATCGATAGATAGGTCCACTGGGGTGAGCTTAGGCAAGAAGTCACACTCTCTCAGCCCCAGGCCAAGGGCTCCTCTGAACAAATCTTGCCAAGAAAACCCCGCAATGGGTTGCTATAAGTCGGAAATGACGCAACAACAACAAGAAGCAAATGGTATAAATAAATCCCCTAAAGGTGCCAGATCAGGAATGATTGTGGAAGCTAAGCTGGGTCAGCCCTGGTTAGTACTTGGCTGGGAGACCACCAATGAATGTCAGGTGCTGGAGGCTCTATTTCGGAGGAAGGGACTGGCCAAACCACCTCTGAGTCTTCCTTGCTTAAGAAAAAGCATTAAGGGACTTGTTGAAGGCACCTGGAGGCATGCACCTGCTGTTTGGTTGTTGCTTTGTGTGTTGCGTCTGTGGCTCAGACAAAGAGGAGGAGATGCTACAGGTGCACAGGTGAGAAAACAATCCAGGGTTGCCCTGGGCAAATTGTAAAGGAAAGCAAGCAGAGGGTGAAAATGCAGATTAAAAATAGCTCAAGAGAGAAAAGGAGGGTGGGACCGGCAAGGCTGGCTTGGATTAAATTCATCTTCCTTTCCTGAGAAATATTTTGCCCTGGGACTAGCCATGGTCATGATAAATCCTAACCCATATGCCATGATAAAGTGGTCTCCATGCTACATTCAGCCCGGGGTGAGCATTTTGGCCTACAACTCATGGGGAGCAGGGTTCGAATGCCGCTTCAGCCATGGGAAACCCACTGGGTGGCTTTGGGCAGGCACCACTCTCAGCCTTTAGGTGCATCTTTCCAATGAGAGGCAGAGTGGTGGAGTGGTTTGAGTCCTGGACTAGGACTCTGGAAACCTGGGTTCGAATCCCCGCTTGGCCGTGGCAACCCACTGGGTGACTTTGGGCAAGTCCCACTCTCTCAGCCTCAAAGTGCAGCCTTCTGAGTACATCCTTCCAATGAGAGGAAGAGTGATGCAATGGTTTGAGTCCTGGACTCGGACTCTGGAGACCAGGGTTCGAATCCCAAATGGGCCATGGAAACCCACTGGGTGACTTTGGGCAAGTCCCACTCTCTCAGCCTCAGAGGAAGGCAAGGGCAAACCCCCTCTGAGTACATCTTTGCAATGAGAGGCGGAGTGGTGTAATGGTTTGAGTCCTGGACTATGACTCTGGAGTCCAGAGTTCGAATTCCCGCTTGGCCATGGAAACCACTCTCTCAACCTCAGAGAAAGGCAAAAGCAAACCCATTCTGAAGAAGTTAAAACTTGGGGGATATTTTTTTTTCCATTATAGCCTTTGGGTCTCATGATTAATTTATCCTAAGTTTTGCACTGGGGCTTCAAACTGTTTTTACCCCATTAATTAATCTCATGAATGAAAAAATGCAAAGGATGCTAAACAAGGCTATTCATTCATTCATTCATTCATTCATTTGTTGAATATGCTCTTGAGCTTGTCTTGTGCCAATTCTGACTTGCTTCAAAAGTTCCCCAAGAGATCTGGCCGCATCTAGCAGAATTAGATTAATGAATGAATGAATGATAAAGACATGAATTAATTAATGGGGTAAAATAGTTAAAACTTTAATTAATGCATTAATAAGTGGACAGGTGGAAAGGTCTGGTCTGGAAATGTCATTCGGCTTATGAGTGAGAAGATGTCAGGAAGAAGGAAATGTGAACACTTGCTTTGCTTTCTGCCATACTTCCGTATAGTTGTGCGTATATATGTGTGTGTGTTTGTGTGTCTTTTGAGGTGAAGGAATTCCTTTCTTCTTGGGCTTCTGACTCAGAATCAGTGTCGAAACCAATCTGGATCAGGTGTTTTAAGGGCGATTTCCCTCTCCCATCAGCTCTAATCTCCGGTGACATTAAATGTCACCTCTTTGCAAGAGAGTCGTGCCAAAACAAAGTGAATTTCCACCACAACCTACTTAATATTGTCACCTTGTGTTGATTTTATATAACCCTCCCACCTATTTGGAAATAAAAAGTACTGCAACCGAATGCTGAGGTTTGGTTCCAGGAAATCCTCCTTCCTGGGTTTACCAAAATCTGGGGGCACTGAAGTCCCATTATATACAATGGAGTAGTAAAATGGTGTCCCTGATTTGTTGTTATTTCCTTATCAAAAGTGACTTGAAGGCACACAACACACATACACACATCCATCCATGTATTTTTTTCTTCCTCTTTTCCCACTGCCTTCTACCTTTCCAACATTATCACCTTTTTCCACTGAGTTATGCCTTGTCTATACCATCAAATGACTAGTGTGTGTATTATTATTATTATTATTATTATTATTATTATTTGTATTTGTATTGATGCTCTGCTCTTTAGTCATTTGTGACTTATAGCACCCCTAAGACTATTACAGGGTTTTCTTGGCAAGATTTTTTTCAGAGGATTGTTGTTGTTGTTGTTGTGTGCCTTCAAGACATTTCCAACTTATGGAGACCCTAAGCTGAACTTATCATGGGGTTTTCTTGACCAGATTTCTTCAGAGGGGGTTTGCCATTGCCTGCCCCTGAGGCTGAGAGAGTGTCACCCAATGGGTTTACATGACCGAGCTGGGATTCGAACCCTGGTCTCCCAGAGTCCTAGGCCAACACTCAAACTGCTACATCACCTTGCTCCCTTTCCAAATAAGACATAGTAGAATTTGTACAATGGACACCTTTCCGTTTGACATCTAATTGAGCGGGATTTTTGTCCAAATTCTTTGCAAATGTCACTTTCCCCCAAATCTTTCTTGCAGCATCTAGATTTCCCAATGAAAAAGCAAAAGGTGACCCAGGAGATGGGAGGAAAGTGAAAAGGTGGCCCAAGCGGGTAGAGATTTCCATCACGTGGATTCGGTCCCTTTGGAACAATGGCCACCCAAAGTCTTAGAAAAGTACGGACTGTACTTTGGAGGAAAAAAGTCTCAGGAAATAAAGTGTGTGATTGATTGGAGGCAAGTGGAAAGCGGAAGAAAAAGCCGACTCAGACCAAACCACCTTCCTGATGTTGTTTTCATTGGCTTCTTCTTTCTGTTTGTTCACAAAGAGAAAATAGCAAATGCTGTGATTTTGTTGTCTTATGGTTCGCTTGTCATGACCCAAAATCCAGAGATGACGTGGAAGAACTTTTCTCTCTGAGTTCCAAAACTCTTGAGGATTCACAAGATACCAAATGTAACTTGGTTCTGAGTCCGGTTATGGGATGGAGATAGCTTTGGTCATCTTGATGGGTGACCTAAACTGGATACTAGACAACAATGTATGTCCCTGTTAGTTTTGTAGGACATCTTAGCAGCTTTTGATACTATCAGTCATGGTGTCCTTCTGGGCCACCTTATTGGCATGGGAATTGTGAGCACTGTTTTTATTGCTGTTGTGTGCCTAAATGTCATCCGACTTATGGCGGCCCTAAGACAACCCTATCATGGGATTTGCTTGGCAAGATTTGTTCAGAAGAGGTTTGGAAGACCTAAAGATGGTAGTTACACACTGCTAACCTCAAGGCAAGTCTTTTGCAATGTACTCTATCTACATTGATCTACCTTTGTACCAAGTTTGGAAACTTCAGTTAGTTCAAAATACAGCAGCCAGCTTTATCACTGGTCTGTCTAAGAGTGAGCATATTACACCAGTATTAAAGAGCTTTATTGCATGAGAAAGGAAATCTGAAACAAAGCAGAAGATTAGTGGCTTTCTCTGTGCCTTTCCACATGCCGTCGTAGCACTTCTGTTCTCCTTCCCAAAGGAGATGGTTGTAAAAGCATACCTTTTGTCAAACGGATTTTTCCAGCACGACAAAAGATAAGCTTTTATGACCATCTCCTTTATAAGGAGAATGGAAGGGATACAACATCATACGGATTGACATGGAGAAAGGTGTTGCCTTTCTGCTCCATTTTGGATTTCTTTTCTCATGCAGTAAGGCTCAAAACGGCTACCAGTTAGTTTCTGGGCAAAGTACAAAGCGTTGGTTATTTCCTTTAAAGCCCTACATGGTTTGGGTACAGGTTACCTATGGAATCACCTCCTTCCATATAATCTGCCCCATATGTTCAGATCCTCTGGAGGAGATTTACTTCAACTGGCCTGTTGTCTTACCATACATTTTTAATTCTATCATAATAATTTAAATGTACACGTGCTAGTTTTGGGGAGGAAAAGGATATATAAATGTTATTGATTATGATCATAATGATAGGAATAGGAATAATCTTTTGGCATAGGCGTCTAGTGATGTGTTCTGCTTTTTATCCTGGCTGGAATCAAGCTCCATCCGTATTGTTCTGTGATGCCACATTGCAGTCTTATGAAGGGAAAGTGACATTTTATCCTGGATTAATCTCCCCCATCTTCCGGTTATTGCGATGGAAAGGCAACCATGCCAAACACAACGAAAGGGATTAGCAGTGATGATTGCCTCAGACAGGAAGGAAGAGGACTTGATATTTCTCCGCTAAATGTCAAGATGTGATGTGGATTTGTCTGTGTAGTGGGATCACTTCAAACTTCTGTATGGTGTCAGTCCTCTCTTGCATGATGGAAAGGCTTATGGCCAGCACTATGGTTGCCAAATCTCTAGGCCTGGCCATGAGTCAAATGCAGCTTCCAATGCAAAGCAACAAATTTTGCACAGAATAGGTCCCAAACTGTGAATAAGTTTCAAAAAACTGGTGCCATTTTCAACAGCTTTCTTGCAGTGGAAAGAAAATGGTTAAAATTAATCATTGCTTGCTTGGAGAAGAAATTTAGTGAATTATTGCATCCCTAATCACTAGGGCTGGGTTAAACTGGGTTACCTTCATCCGTGAAAAAGGATGAGCCCAGTCTGGAAAGTACATGATGCAGAAATGATTTGATCCCTGGCTATTCTGGATTGAAAACATCTCTGCAACACAAGACTGTGAAGGACAGAATAGCAGAACCAGTTGGATAGGAGGAAAGGAAAGGAAAGGAAAAGAAAGTGGAATGGATGAACTGATAGTAAAGTTTCTGTATAGGTGGTTTAAATCAGGAGTTAGGGAAATATGGTCCTCCTTGTGTTGTTGTTCTTTCCCATGGGAAGGGGGCTACAGCTATCACTAACTCTACACAACACAGCCAGTGCTGAGAGATCATGGGAACTGCAATCCAAAGCTATTTGGTAGAGCCAGAGTACACCATCCTTGCTTTAAAGAAACAAGGGGAAAATATTTAAAATCCTGTTCTGTCATTTTTTGTCTTCTCTTTTCTTGGCATTATTTCTGTATCATTGCCGGCTGCTTAGTTTATAAAAGTAACTCTTCTCTTCTCTTCTTTAAAGTGGCAACTAGTGCAGCAACGTCAACCCCACCAACGGTGACAGATTCCACGTTGACCATGATGGAGAACGCCACATCTCCCTCGGATATTTTGGAGTCTTCCGCTCTGACCACAGAGGGAACGGCTGTCCTGACAGAGAGCTCCACGTCTCCCCCAGAGATGTCAAGTGCTTCTACTGTGTCCGTGGAGGCAATATCAACTACGACAGACAGTACCACATCTCCCCAAGAGATTACAACTGTATCTACTTTCTCCACCGAAGTAAGATCAGCCATGACAGAGAGCTATGTGTCCCCTCCAGAGATGACAACTGCTTCCACTTTGTCCACGGAGGCAATATCAGCCACATCAGAGATTACAACTGCCTCTCCTTTCTCCACTGAAGGAGTATCAGCCACGACAGAGAGCTCCACGTCTCCTTCAGAGGTAACTGCTTCCACTTTGTCCACTGAAATGATGTCAGCCATGACAGAGGGTGCCACGTCTGCTCCACAGGTTACAAGTGCTTCCACTTTGTCCATGGAGACAATATCAGCCATGACAGAGAGGTCCACATATCCTCCAGAGATTACCACTGCTTCCACTTTATCTATAGAGGCAATATCAGCCACGTCAGAGAGTGCCACATCTCCCCAGGAGATTATAACTGTGTCTACTTCCTCCACTGACGTAAGGTCAGCCATGACTGAGAGCTCCACGTCTCCAGAGATTACGGGTGCTTCCACTTTGTCCACTGAGGCAATATCAGCCACAACAGAGAGTGCCACGTCTCCTGCAGAGATTACGGGTGCTTCTACTTTATCCACTGAAGTAAGATCAGCCATGACCGAGAGCTTCACGTCTCCTCCAGAAGTTACAACCGTTTCCACTTTGTCCACTGAAATAATGTCGGAAATGACA